ACTTATTCATCAATGGAACCATGATCGTGTAATAATAATAACCCATAATACTCCACATACCTCAGACTCCATATAACTCCATGTACGTGTCGATGATAACAAAATAACTCCGTTTACTCCACTGACTCATCCTCCATGCAGCTGAACACGTGTGTCGACCATGACTTCACAATGGGGGATGACGTCGTAGTCTCCCCACACGTCCATTGTGAGGCCTGGTAATAGTGTACAAGTTGTCCAGGCGGGGGATATTTATTAGGGCTGCCCGTGTGATATATTGTTCAGTTGATTGTCGGATTCCAAGGGGGGAGTGTATCAAGGCTTTCCCCACACGTGTTATATGTGCGTACTTGATGATGATGGGATGGTTGATATATTCACACACACACACACACACACACACACACACACACACACACACACACACACACACACACACACACACACACACACACAGTAAGCAATAATATTTTCCAAGAGTTCGTCTGTGAAAATGACACTAACATAACGCCACAGACGAGCCGCGGGTCTGTGTGTGTCAGCCTGTATTGATAGCTAATGTGTCCTCATCAGGGAGGCAAAATGAATCGTAAAATGAGTCGTTTGTAATGCGTACAGAGGCAATTACAACACTCTATGTCGACTAATGACCCGCCATTTCTTTTCATTTGAGAATCCTAGATTAACCTCGTTCGTTGGTCTCTCTCTCTCTCTCTCTCTCTCTCTCTCTCTCTCTCTCTCTCTCTCTCTCTCTCTCTCTCTCTCTCTCTCTCTCTCTCTCTCTCTCTCTCTCTCTCTCTCATCAACTAAATAAAAAAATATCACTGTGCAGAACAATATAATGACAGTGAATAAAATAATACTAATGCAAATAATAACGAAGAATGAAAGGGAAGGAAGAAGAGAAGAGAGAAGAAAGAGGAAGAGGGAGAGAGAGGTGGAGGATGGGGAAGGGGGGGGAGCTGGTATCTGCCATTATGACTCATATCTGAAGTAAACCAGACACACAGAGGTAATTATGAATGGTAATTAGAAAGAGAGAGTAGGCTCCTCTCTCTCTCTCTCTCTCTGTCTCTCTCTCTCTCTCTCTCTGTCTCTCTCTCTCTCTTGTCCCTCTCTCTCTCTCTCTCTCTCTCTCTCTCTCTCTCTCTCTCTCTCGCTTTATCTACTTTATCTATCTATCTATTAATCTCTGTCACTCCCTCTCTCTTCTCTCTCTCTCTCTCTCTCTCTCTTTATCTCTTTATCTACTTTATCTATCTATCTATTAATCTCTGTCCTCCCATCTCTCTCTCTCTCTCTGTCTCTGTCTCTCTCTCTCTCTCTCTGTCTCTCTCTCTCTCTCTCTCTCTCTCTCTCTCTCTCTCTCTCTCTAAATTAACCTCATCTCCCCTCTGCTCACTAGGGGAGAATGTAACGTTTATTAACACACTCTCTCCCTTTCATCTACTCCCCCGTTTCTCTCCCCCTCCTCCCCTCCTCCCCCCTACCCCTAATCCGGAGACAAACGATTGGATAATCCTGAATGAATCATGATTAGGCGGAGAGAATGGAGGCGGCATCAGTTACTTTGTCTTATTTGCATGGACTGGTTTGCTGTGGTGGTTGTGATGATGGTGGTTGTGGAGATGGTGGTGGTGGGCGGCTAGTGGTGGTGGGGTGTGGCGTCAGTGGTGGGTGGTGGTGGTGGGCGTCAGTGTAGCTGGTGGTGGTGGGCGTCAGTGTAGCTGGTGGTGGTGTCAGTGTAGTTGGTGGGTGTCAGTGCTGGTGGTGGTGGGTGTCAGTGTAGCTGGCTGGTGGTGATGATGGAGATGGTGGGTGGTTTTGGTGGTGGTGGGCGTCAGTGTAGCTGGTGGTGGTGGGTCGTCAGTGTAGTTGGTGGTGGGGCGTCAGTGTAGCTGGTGGTGGTGGGTGTCGTGTAGCTGGTGGTGGTGGGCGTCAGTGTATGGTGGTGGTGGGCGTCAGTGTAGCTGGTGGTGGTGGGCGTCGTGGGCGTCAGTGTAGCTGGTGCGTCAGTGTAGCTGGTGGTGGTGGGTGTCAGTGTAGCTGGTGGTGGTGGGCGTCAGTGTAGCTGGTGGTGGTGTCAGTGTAGGGTGGCGTCAGTGTAGCTGGTGGTGGTGGGCGTCAGTGTAGCTGGTGGTGGTGGGCGTCAAAATGGTGGTGGTCCAGTGGCTGGTGGTGGGTCAGTGTACAGTGTTGGTGGTGGTGGTGGGCGTCAGTGTAGCTGGTGGTGGTGGGTGTCAGTGTAGCTGGTGGTGGTGGGCGTCGTCGTGTCAGTGGCTGGTGGTGGTGGGCGTGTGTGGTGGTGGTGGTGGGCGTCATGTAGCTGGTGGTGGTGTGAGTGTAGTGGTGGTGGTGGTGGTGGGCGTCAGTGTAGCTGGTGGTGGTGGGTGTCGCTGGTAGCTGGTGGTGGTGGGCGTCAGTGTAGTCAGTGTAGCTGGTGGTGGTGGGCGTCAGTGTAGCTGGTGGTGGTGGGTGTCAGTGTAGCTGGTGGTGGTGGGCGTCAGTGTAGCGAAGGACAATCAAGACAGTGGCGGGCAACATAAACCGGCCATAAACCTCGCTCTCAATATGCTTATTCCGCGTAAAACTTGATATAGCTTACATAACGACGTTGGATACGCCCCCCAGCCCCCGTCCAACCTCCCCTCACACATACATACATACATACATACATACATACATACATACAGTATATACACAACATCACCGAGCAGAGTGAGGTACTGTAACACCACTCCACACCACACGGTGTCCCCATGACCACGTGAGGTCCCTCATATCAACACCCGAGGACGAGTTACTACACCACGTGAACACCACACCACCTGGTGTCTCCATGACCAGCCCAGGCCCGGGCCATCAACTGTAAACTATAATGATTTGTATGGTCAATCATTGTTCCTTCTTCTTTCAGTAATGAAAGCTTTTATTAAACGACCTACCCACCCCATGTCTTTGTATGTAATAAGTCATTTTTGTCCAATGTATATTTTCAACCTTCGGGCTGCCGAACTTTTTCAATAAACCGTTAATTATTAATATTATTATTATTATTATTATTATTATTATTATTATTATTATATACATAAATACATACATACATACATACATACATACATACATACATACATACATACATACATACATACAAACATACATACATACATACATACATACATACATACATACATACATACATACATACATATGAAGGCATTCGAGCCAGCGTGCATTAACGAGTCCATCCATCAAGGTGACTTATGTGGAGGGGACGGGGCAGACGGAGCACCACAAGGTAAGCTTTCCGCTGACCGCCCGCTATATTTCCTCCCTGGGTTACAATATGGCCTCTATTACACTATGTCGCTCGCTTTTAAAAATAAGGCATTAAATCTTGTGACGAGTGTGATATAGTAGATGTGTGGGAGGGGGGCGTGTGTGTGTGTGTGTGTGTTGGGGGGTGCAGCGTGTATGTGGGGCGGCATGTGTGTGTGTATGTGTGTATGTGTGTGTATGTGTGTTGGGGCAGGCGTGTGTGTGTGTGTGTGTGTGTGTGTTGGGGCAGGCGTGTGTGTGTGTGTGTGTGTGTGTTGGGGCAGGCGTGTGTGTGTGTGTGTGTGTGTGTGTGTGTGTGTCGGTGTAGGTGCTGTAGAGGTTAATTTCACGGGTGTGTTGGTGTCATTTCACGGACTGACTATAATATAAAGGGTGGACAGGCCATGTTGGTCTCTCTGGGACAATAATTCACAGTCTGGATTATGCCTCAACCCCCTCCACACACACACACAATAAGTCCCTCCTCACGTCCAAGACTCCGAACTGTTGTCATGAGTCACCCGAACTGCTCATCTCACCCACAGATGGCGTCGTAGTGCCTCAGATGAGTCCGACAAAGTTTGAAACAGGAGTGTCACTTCTTGTCTAGGGAAGAAATGAGAGGGGGGGATGGTCGACCCACAACTAAGTCCACCTTTCATCAGATTCTAGCAATATATGTGTGTGTGTGTGTGTGTGTGATCCTGCAGAAAAAAGTATTGACCTTGTTAGGGAGGGGGTGGGGGGGGTGAAGGTAGGAAGGTAATGAAAACAGTAACGGAGGAGAGAAAGAAGTAGAGATGAATGAAAAGAGACGGATAAATATATAAAAAATAGGAAGCACAAGAGAATGGACCAAGTTCTCGACACACAAACGTCATCATAACATTCACACTGACACACAAACCCTCTTATTAACTCACTATGCTGAGAAAGTTGGGATAATATTGACGACTAACCCGCCGACGTTGTATTGTGCGGTTCATGTTATCATCCTCATATCTCCCATTAATGTCTCTCAGTCTGTTTATCTCTGTTGTCTCTCAGTCTCCATCTGTCTCTACTCTGAAATATCCGAGTTTCACATTTGTATAAGACAAGAGGGACAAAAACCCCTTCAGGCAGTCTCCTTGTTTAGAGTAAAGAGAGGAACTCAGGTTTTGTAAAATAAGAGAGAGAGAGAGAGAGAGAGACTAACAAAATCTCGTAATCACATAGAATTAATAACATAATCAGTACGTTAAATACCCATTAATAACATTGCCTAAATAACATCAAGACATCAACGAACGACATCCTGAAATTTCATGCTTCAGCGAACGTAATGATGACGTAATCCCCGTGACGTAATCAAAACAATCAGTGATGTAATCGTTGTCTCCCAGTGTGTTTGTGTCACGCAGAGGCGAGGTATCTCCACTGTCTCCTCCACTTGAGTGATCCGCGTGGGGAGATCTGGTGAGATAGTTCTAAATAGCTCCTGATAAGGCCTAGATAACCCGATATAGGCCTAAATAACCGAGGAAACAGAACCTACATAATGTGGTATAGGCCTAAGTAAATTGATGAAGAGGATTAGAGAAATGTGGAAGAGAGAGAGAGAGAGAGAGAGAGAGAGAGAGAGAGAGAGAGAGAGAGAGAGTATTGGTTAACCTCATAACCAACACAATAAAACTTCTCTATTATCTTATTCACTTTATTCATTCATACAATTTTAACATAAATAATACATAATACATATCAGTAAACGTCCTGTGTTACGAATGATATAAACCAGAAGCTGTCGTAGTTAGGTTAGGATGGGTTAGCTTAGTTTAGGTTTGGTTAGGTTTGGTTAGGTTTGGTTAAGTCAGGTCAGGTCAGGTCAGGTTAGGTTAGGTTAGGTTATCACAAGTTAATCACTGTCAACATCACCCACTAAACATTACCATTAAGTTAATCATTAATAGAGTTCTCACAGATGAAATTGCCAGCGACGGTACAATCAAAATCAACAAAGTATCCAGTTTTATGTTCCAGGGCTAAACAGCTGCCTTGAGCGTTAGGATGATTGGGGTACCAGAAAGGCGTACCAATGGCCACAGAATACCCCGTCACCCACTCCCAGTCACCTCTATGTCCTGCGTCTGTAGCACCGATCCAGTACCAGTGAGGTCCATCTAGAGAGACAAGTGATAAGATATTAGTAATGACCACACACTAGTTAGGTTAGGTTAGGTTAGAGCCACACTAACCCCTCTCCCGTGATAACTAAGGTCTTTAAGCTCCTAACTAGGATAATATTTACACTAATTCCTCAACAATTAATAAATATGAGACGTGCAACTCTCTATTTGTGTGTGTGTGTGTGTGTGTGTGTGTCCCTCTACTCACAGTTGTTGACGATGAAGTGCCAGGTAAGACCTAATCTCTCACAGCTATCCACCACGGCCAGATCCACACGGTCGCCCATGGCCTGACAGTACGCTCGAGCTTCTCCCCTGTGAGAGAAAATGATGGATAGGAAGTAAGATAAATTAACAAAGAGAGTCTATCGTCCTCTCTCACACTCGAGCACACATCTTAATCAACCAGGATAGAGTTTGAGTCACGGTGTTTCAGTACCTCTCTATCAGACTTACCAGGTGAGCGCCATCTCGTGCTGGAAGAAGTAACAGCGATTGTCGATGTCAACAAACGGCGGAGAACACGCTGAAGGAGACAAACTTGTACTTAACACATAGTGATGATGATGTGTTTCAACCTAACTCTTCAACTATAACTGTGACGAAACTTTATAAGACAAGAATGTACTTCAGTTAAGGCAGTAATCACATTATAGTTATGGTAGAATACCCACCTGAAGCAGACGCTACCGCCAGCATGGCTATGATCAGTACACAGTTTAAAGAAGCCATCGTGAGGTTCTGCTGTAGTGTGGCGCCCGTCTGTGTTGCTTGGAGTTATATATCCGCTGATTGTTACCCACCAGCTGCAGAAGAGAGTCAGCTGACATTAAAGACGAAAGCAGAAAAAAAACAGATTTCAGGCAGATTGTGGGTCCATGGGTCCGAGGCAGGGTACGCGGAAGGTCAGGAGGTGTTCCCACAAGGGCCGTATCTCTCCTCCCTGATTAACACCTGGCAGGTCTCAGCCACTCAACTGTACATTACCCGCTGATGGTTCGCTGCCTCCTCCTTGTGTTCACGGTTCTCCCTGGTGTTCTGGCGTGACTCGGGTGGCAGGGTCTAGTAGTGCTGGGGCCCATAAGTACGAACAGTCATCCACTCTCGCTTCCAACACGAGCACCACGTCCAGGGTCTGCTGCATGCACTAGCACGTCATTGGATGGTAATACCCGGTGCACTGCTGATCAACCTTACTGTTGGAGGAGGTGTTCTCACTCCGGTGACGCAGCAGTAGCTACAGGTGGACACTTCCTCAGGGGTCTATTTGGAACAACACATCACGACAGACGCTACTAGCCAGGCGAACATTCTCTCGCCCCCAAGAACCCTAATGACTTTTATTTTGTCAGTCTAATAACCGCCTTTCCTGACCTAACAGATGGATCTTGTATTCAGGGTGTTTTTCAAGCTGGTCTGTCGTCAACACTTCCACCCCCCCACCATCACGCCTTCCCTTTCACCCCTCCATTCAAGCCCACTTTTCACCCCTCTTCACGATCCTTGTTCACCCCTTCCTTCACCCGCTCCTTTCACCCCTCCCTTCACGCCCCTCCTTTCACCCCTCTCATCACGCTCTATCCTTCCACCCACCTCCCTTCACCCTCCTCCTTTACCCCCCCTTCACGACCCCCTTTACCCCCCCCCCCTTCTACTTCTTTATATTCCGGTGAGTTTTCCTGAATAAGGGAACTTGGTCGACTTCTTGAAATTCACACACGGAAGGACTGTGACAAATGCGTTCATTCTCTGAGCTGAGGCGCTTGAAGTGGGAGGGAGGGGAGCAAAAGGTGGTAGGAAGGGAGATGGAAAAGGGGAGTAAAAGGTGGTAGGAAGGGAGATGGAAGGGATAGCTACCAGTATAATCACTACTACTACTACTACTACTACTACTACTACTACTACTACTACTATTACTTCCATCGCTATTACTACTAACATCACTACCACCGCTATCAATTTCCTACCACTGCTAATACCATCACCACCAACACACCACTACTACCACCATCAATTCATCACCTCAGCCAAGAACACCAGCTCTCTACGATCACCACTCACCCCTCCCTCACCTCACCTACCCTCACTCTCACCCCTCCCTCACCCTCACCCCTCCCTCACCCTCACCCTCTCCCTCTCCCTTCCCTCTCCCTCCCCCTTCCCTCAGTCCCTTGGGTCACCACGACAAATAGGGTCATGTTCCGGTGTCGTGACCTTTGACATTGTGCCGTAAAGGACAATCAACCCAGAGGTCATGTGGACGAGCGGTGCATAATGTGAAGTGTGTAATGGTGAGTCTGAGTAGCTCTCTCTCTCTCTCTCTCTCTCTCTCTCTCTCTCTCTCTCTCTCTCTCTCTTGTTTTTTATTTATCTTCTTTCTTCTTCTCCTCCTCCTCTTCCTCCCCCTCTTCCCCTTTTTCTTTCTACTCCTTATCCTCTCTCCTTCTTTTCCTCGTCCCTTTCTATAAGTCACCATCTCTTCCTTCTTCCTCCCCCCCTCCCCCCCCCCACAGGGTCATAAAGGTTCCAACGTGTTCCATAACCTGAGATAATCTTTGCCAATATGAACTACTGATGGAGGAGGAGAGGGAGGAAGAGAGGGAGGAAGAGGAGGAGAGGGAGGGATAGGCAGGAAGAGGAAAGTTGGAGGGAGGAAGAAGATGGAGACGGAATGAGGAAGAGGAGCTAAGGAGGAAGAGGGGCAAGGGATGAAGGAAGAGAAACGGAAGAAGAAAACAAGGAGGAATATAGGATGGGAAGGAAAGACGAAGAGAGATGGAGAAAAGAAGACAAAGAGGGAGATAGAGGACACAATGGAGAGTAAAAGAGGGAGAAAGGGATGATATAAGAGGCAAGAGAGATAGCCATTTCTCTCTCTCTCTCTCTCTCTCTCTCTCTCTCTCTCTCTCTCTCTTTCTCTCTCTCTCAGGCCACTAATGAGGGTCGTCCATTGCCTGTGTGTTTCCCTCGTCCCAGGTACAAACGACCTCCTTCGGATTATGCAAAAACAACTTTCCAGGTCGAACAAGTTAGCAATTAGGGTTGATGGGTTTGTTTTGACTGCCGATACTGGGGTGTAAAGAGCTCTGCCTAGGGGGGGGGGGGGCTTCCACGGGGATTCCAGGAGAGGCTTCCAGGTGGTTTCCAGAAATCTTCCATGAGATTTTCCAGAAGGTTTCCATGAGGTTTTCCAGAAGGTTTCCAAAGCGATTCCAGTGAGCTTTCATGAGGGTTCCAGAAAGTTTCCAAGGCGATTCCAGAAGGCTTCCAGAGGTTTACAGAAGGTTTCCACGTGATTTCCAGGAGGCTTCTACTGGGTAAAGTGTTGGCGAACAAAAAGATCACGAGACTACACAAGATTTCCTCCTCGTCCACTTTCTCCTCCTCCAATTCTTCCTTTTTCCTCCTTGCCATTCACTCTTCCAGTTCCCTCCTTCTTCTTTTCGAATTATTCTCGCATATTCTTCTGTCTCTCTCTCTCTCTCTCTCTCTCTCTCTCTCTCTCTCTCTCTCTCTCTCTCTCTCTCTCTCTCCCCTGTCTCTTCACCCCCACTCCTTCCCTTTTTCCTATCTCTTCCACCCCTCTTTCCCTTTCCTCCCTTCTCTCCCTCCATCCGTAACCAATGAGCTGTCAGATGAGTGTGATTTAAGGGCTTCAATAAAATGTAAATTGACACTACAGGGAGCAGCGTCTTGTGTATAGTGACGACTTCCGGGCCGTAGCTGTATATGTATAATGGAATATCAGTGTTTAGCCGCGTCAGCGTTAAGGGAGAGAGGGAGGGAGGGGGTGGTGCAGGAGGGAGGGTGGTGGAGGGAGGAGGGAGGTAGGGAGGTGGTGCAGGAGGGAGGGAGGTGAGAGACCAGTGGAGGGAGGGAGGTGAGGTGGAGTGCAGGAGGGAGGAGGTAGGGGTGGGAGGGAGGGAGGTGGGGAGGTCAGGTGGGGAGGGAGGGAGGGGTGAGGAGAGGGAGGGAGGGGTGGTGCAGGAGGGAGGGAGGGGTGGGGTGCAGGGGAGGGAGGGAGGGGTGGTGCTGGAGGAGGGAGGTGGGGGGTGGTGCAGGAGGGAGGGGGAGGTTGCAGGAGGGAGGGAGGTGGGGGTGGTGCAGGAGGGGGAGGTGGGGGGTGCCTTGGGGAGGGGAGGGAGGGTGTGCAGGAGGAGGGTGGTGCAGGAGGAGGAGGGAGAATTGGTGCAGGAGGAGGAGGTGGTGCAGGAGGGAGGAGGAGGTGGGGGTGGTGCAGGAGGGAGGGGGTGGTGCAGGAGGGAGGAGGTGGGGGTGGTGCAGGGAGGGAGGGGGGTGTGGTGCAGGAGGAGGGAGGGAGGGGGGTGGTGCAGGAGGGAGGGAGGTGGGGGTGGTGCAGGAGAGGGAGGAGGGGGTGGTGCAGGGGAGGGAGGAGGGTGGTGCAGGGAGGGAGGGAGGAGGTGGGTGCAGGGAGGGAGGGTGCAGGAGGGAGGAGGTAGGGGTTGGTGCAGGAGGGAGGAGGGAGGTGGTGCAGGAGGGAGGGAGGTAGGGGTATA